AGTTTTAAAAAGAGAGCCCTGAGCAGAAATGAGCCGCAGCTTGACACCGCCAGGCACGCCGACCCCACGTCCACACACCCCATTTCTGCACATTTGCAGGGTTCCAGATACACATGGGCTACGTCTAGACTGGCATGATTTTCCGCAAAAGCTTTTAACGGAAAAGTTTTTCCGTTAAAAGCATTTGCGGAAAAGAATTTCTGCAAATGCTTTTAACAGAAAAGTTTTTCGTTAAAAACACTTTTTGCGGAAAAGCGTCCGTGCCAGTCTAGACACGGTTTTGCGCAAGAAAGCCCCAATCACCATTTTCGTGATCGGGTCTTTTTTGCGCAAAACAATACTGCGGTGTCTACACTGGCCCTCTTGCACAAAAGCATTTGCTTTTGCCCGAACGGGAGCAGCATAGCATTTCCACAAGAAGCACTGATTTCGGACAGTAGGAAGTCAGTGCTCTTGCGGAAATTCAAGCCGCCAGTGTAGACAGCTGGCAAAAGCAGCTGCTTTTACGGAAAAACTTGCCAGTCTAGATGCAGCCATTTTGTATCGGCATCCACAAAAATGAGCAGCAAATGTTGGCACCCACATGTGCGTGTGCAGAGCCCGGGGGATGTGAGGCAGATCCCTGAGCATTTGCAGGGTGCTGTTTATAACCGACCATGCAGAGACAGACTTCCCCATCGGGGTGCCCAACGCATCCTGCACTTGCTCTCTCACTGAGACTCCAGTTCACGTCCCTGCGCTTTGGGGTAGGACGCTGCTAACGCTGCTGCTCCCCTCTCCTTTCCAGGTTCTGAAGTACACGGCTACTTTGGGGTAGGACGCTGCTTCTGAGGTAACGCTGCTGCTCCCCTCTCCTTTCCAGGTTCTGAAATACACGGCTGGGGAGATCAATTACGGAGGTCGGGTGACAGACGACTGGGACAGGCGCTGCATCATGAATATATTAGAAGATTTCTACAAGCCGGAAGTTCTAACTGAGGATTTTGCTTATTCCGAGTCTGGGATCTACAAACAGATCAACACCACCTATGATCTTAACGTAAGTCCTCCACACGTTCTCCGAGCCTCAGACACAGAACTGAGTGCAAGCTCGAGCCTGGAGACTCCAAACCGGGGGCCATCCTCAGTAGGGAGGTGATGTGGTCCCAATTCAGCAGCAGACTGTACAGGGCAATAGAGGCCGTTTATCAGACGCCGTACCTGCAGCTAACAGCAAGAGCCTCAACACAGGTTGTTGGGTCTGGGAGGCAGCGGCTGTCTGGTGGGTGCCGTGGACCGGCTGGGCCAGTCCCCCTCAGACCAGAGCTGGGCGGGTCCCCCGCCTCACGGCTGATCTCCCCCTAGGGCTACATCCAGTACATCAAGAGCCTGCCGCTCAATGACATCCCGGAGATCTTCGGCTTGCACGACAATGCCAACATCACCTTTGCGCAGAACGAGACCTTCATGCTGCTCGGGGCCATCGTTCAGCTGCAGCCAAAGACGTCCACGTCCGGCGGCCAAGGCCGGGAGGAGGTGCGTGGCTGGGCGTGCCACATGCCCCGTGCGGCACACGCTGCTCTGGGGGAGAGTGGAAGGCAACGCCCGCCCTGCTCTGGCTCCTCCAGCCGCGTCCCCTCCCGCTGCGCCAGGCCGGATTTGGGAAGGCGAGCGGGGTGGGGCCAGTCAGCCCGGGGAGGGGAGATGGGCTGCTCCCAGCCCTCTCCTGGCTAAGGGGGGGATGCTGTGCCCTAGAGACACCAGGCAGACACGCTCACTGAAAGCCACCTGGCAGTTTGTGCAGGGACCTCAGCCTCTGCGTCCTGGCCGGGGACGTGTTCCTCACTAGGGGCACGTTGCCGAGCGAACGCCTGCCTGCCCCGCCCACAGAGGTGGAGGAGGCGTCTCCTGCTGCAGCATCATGCAGGAAGCGTGTGCGTGGAGGGAAAGCAGCTCTCTCTGGGGGGGGGAGTCCACGTTCCTCCCCAGCACCCGCCTTGGGAGATGATCTGGCTGGAATCCGGGCAGCCCTGCAGCAGCTGATTTGGAGGGAAGCTAGTGAGTGGCAACAAGACTGTCCCCTGCTGGCGGAGGAGAGAGCAGCAGCATGGAGATGGGGACGCAAGCCCAGGGCGCGGTGGAGCCTGAACGCAGCTGGTCCAATGACAGATCCTGCCCCACCCCTTGTACCGCAGCTGGCTCCTGGCAGCCTGTTCCCTGGGCCTGCCCGGAGAGCTCCTCGAGGAGTCCTCTCTAGGATGAGCACTAGAGGGTCAGGGCCAGGCCTTTCCTGTGCTTCCCCTCGAGGAGCAACCCGCGGTGCCAGCTAACCCCGTGAGATCTCGGGCCGGAAAGGCGCCTGGCTCCGGCCCCTCCCTAGTGCTGCCTCCCCACGAGCAGCTTCTCACGCCGTGCGCCGTCTGCGTTCCAGCTGGTGGAGGAGACGTCGAAGGACATCCTGGCGAAGGTCCCCGTGCCCATTAACCTGCAGGAGGTGATGCTGAAATACCCGGTGCTGTACGAGGAGTCCATGAACACGGTGCTGGCGCAGGAGGTGATCAGGTAGAGCTCCGCCTCACAGCCCGGCTTCCTGCCTGCAGGCCCCCCGCCCCCCCCCCAAGGGAGCG